AGATGAGAAAAGAGACCGATTACCAGAAATATGATCGGTAGCACCAGAATCTAGGACCCAAGGGCCAAGAGAGGTGGAGTGAGTGAGACCAACAAAATGTTATTGTATTTCCTTTTTTTATCTTCCACCAAGTCTCGTAGTGGGCCTGATGGCCCTATGTTCCTAGGGTTCACCTCACTATATATCTCTTTTGTAATGTGATGATGAGAAAATGAAGAATTATCACAATTTTTTTTATACAGTATTTCTTTCTTAGGTTAATAGTAGTGTTGCCCTTATCATCTGGTGCTTTCATCGACCCTCATACCCCCCAAGCATAACAAGGACCTTGAAGATGCCGTGCAAGCCCTCACGGATCATCTCAACACCATTACCCAGCAGCATGATCAACGTATTGACCAACTCCAGGCAGCCATGGCTCACCGTCATGATGCTCTCACTAGTACCAGTGCCACCCTGATTGAGAAAGTTCAAGCTCTTTCTATGGCTAATCCAAGCCAAGGTGCTCACATACACTCCACCAACACCTCTACAGCCCCACCTGTGATCCTCGTGACCTCTGGGCCCTCTTCCAACACCACACACCTTCCAGGTTTCTCCCCTTTTCCCCCATATTTTACCCCATTTCCTCATAACCCTGGTCCTTCCCATAACCCATTTCAACAATTTTCCTCATATACGCATAACCCTCCTTCCAACCCAAACCTTCGCCTCCCCAAACTCCAACTAGCCCCTTTTGATGGCTCACATCCTTTAGATTGGATTTTTCAGGCCGAGCAATTTTTCTTGTTTCACAATGTGGCCCCTGAGCAACGTTTGCCTATGATTTCATTTTATATGAAGGGTGATGCCTTAAGTTGGTTTAAATGGATGCATTTTAACCACCAGCTGCAGGATTGGGAGTCATTTACCCGTTCTTTAGAGCTTCGATTTGGACCGTCATCCTATGAAAACCACCAACAAATGTTATTTAAACTTCGCCAACAAGGGTCCGTCATCGATTATCTCCTGACTCTATATTACATTGTTTCATCTCTGGATTATTACCTGCAATTCAAGAGGAATTAGCCCTCCACCGCCCCCAATCCATCAACCAAGCCATTGACCTAGCTAAACTGGTTGAATCCAAATTGTCTGCTTCCAAATCTCGGACCTCCCCTCGCCTTGTTCCTCACAAACCCTATTCTACCCTTCCACCACCCAAACCCTCCCTTCCAGCTCCTCCGTCTTCAACAGTTGGTTCTACCACTACTTCCCCAACCCTTCCTGTCAAACGTTTGACCCAAGCCCAACTCCAAGAGCGACGTGCCTTGGGATTGTGTTATAACTGTGATGAACGGCCGGAAAGAGTCACGGCGAGGTGGTTGCCGGAAAACGGAATGAGACACGTTTTCCGGGCACCGAAGAACAGTGGGACCACCGGGAGGTCAAGGATTAGGCTCTAGATACCATGTTGAGAGTGATGGGGAATGAAGAGAACATATTCCTTGTGTATTGCAAAGCCAAAAGATGTGTTTAAATACAAAGTAGTGGGCCTAGGCCCATAAGATAAAATTATATCTAACAATATTAAATACTTCTTAAAGAATACAAGAAAAATCATAAATATAAAAAAGTACGATCTAAAAGAAGTATATTTTTAATGATGATATATATATTTATTAGAATTTATAATCTCATGCAAGCTTCAATCTGTGACTAATTAAAGATAACATTCTTTACCATTGAATTTATTAATATTATATTAGAGTAAATTAACGGAATGTTAGTATTCTAAAAAGAGTATAAATCAGTGGTTGATTTGAAAATTAACCGAAATTAAGCATTGAATGGGAGGTAAAGATGGTAGATATGGAGAAAGCAGTTAGCACTAGAAAAAGGGTCAACATTCAATGGATACAGCCAGAATCATTAAGCCCAAAAAAATTACTATCCTGACAAAATTAACTAGCTTGGAATAATCTCAACTTCTCATTTTACATATGTATACCTGGAAGGCAAGCAAAATCTTCTGTTTTCTCATCATTATAAAAAGATTGAAATATGGAAAATAATTCAGAACGAGATTTCATTAAAAATAACCAAGTACATCGAGAGTAATCATCAATAAAAGTGACAAAATACTGAAATCCTAAAGTGGACGGGACCCGACTCGGCCCCCAAATATCAGAATGAACTAAAGCAAAAGGAGACGATGCTTGTTTGTGGACACTCGGAGAAAAAGAACTACGACTATGTTTGCCTAACTGACACGACTCACACGACAACTGAGACAACTTAGACAGACGTGGTACAAGGTGTTGAAGCTTGGCAAGGCTAGGATGACCTAATTGAGCATGGATGAGGGTAGGGGAATCCGCCACCAAACCAACAGGAGCAGAGGTGCGTAGGTGATAAAGGCCATGAGACTCACATCCGGTGCCAATCATCCGTCCCGAACTCCGGTCCTGTAAGAAAACAGAATCTTTAGTAAAAGAAATAAGGCAATCAAGAGAACGAGTAAGACGACTAAGGGATAATAAATTAAAGGGAGACTCTGGGACATAAAGGACATTGTCAATGGAGAGAGAAGGAGAAAGATGGACAGTACCAACACCATGAGATGTGGCGCGAGAACCATTAGCCATAGTGATAGAGGGTAAATAAGCAGAGGTAGAAAGAGATGAGAAAAGAGACCGATTACCAGAAATATGATCGGTAGCACCAGAATCTAGGACCCAAGGGCCAAGAGAGGTGGAGTGAGTGAGACCAACAAACGAAGGACCTGTGTGCGCAACAGAAGCAGTGGAATTGGAAGCTTGACGTTCTTCATACCATGTAAGGAAGTCATTGAAGAGAGCTGGGGGCCCAGAGCCAGAACTGGCAGAGGGGGTAGCACCAGATGCAGTCGAGACAGGAGACGCAGTGTGGGCAACGGCACTAGCAGGGCGAGGGGGACGACCATGTAAGACATAGCAACGGTCAATTGTGTGACCCAGTTTGTGACAGTGATCACACTTAGGACGACCTTTGCCCGGTTTGCGAGAACGCTGACGATCATCACGTTGAGACACCAAAGCAGAGGAGTCGCCAGTGGTAGCGGAAGAAGAGATGTCAGGGGAAGACTTGCAGGGCACACGCAACAGAGTGGACCAAGCCGAGTTCAAGGTAGGCACGGTCGGAGATCCCAAAATCTGATCACGAATGGAAGAGTACTCATCAGGAAGCCCATACAGTGCCATCAACATAAAGAATGTTTGGCGTTGCTCTAGTTCCTTGGCAGGAGTGTCAGCAGGAGGCAAAAGTTCATTGAAGTCATGTAGGAGGCCATGAACTTTGCCCAAATACTCAGCCATGGAACCATCAAGGCGTCGGGGAGAGATGATATTCTGGAGATGTTGACACACACCATAGAGACGTTGAGTATCATTGGTGTATAACACTCGGGCTTGTTCCCATAAATCAACACATGTCTCATGGGCACGAAAAATTTGCTTTAAGGAGGGATGAATGGTCGACTTAAGGACACTACAAATTTGAGCGTCAATTTTCAACCAACGAGGACGATCCTTCTCATCAATAGAAGCAGCTGTCTGGGTAAGGTGAGTAACATAATCCTGTCCCTTAAGCCAGAGCTTGATATCCGAAGCCCAAGTATCATAATTGGTGCCATCTAACTTGTCAATGGAAAGAGGGACATTGACATAATTAGTGAAAATAGCAGAGTCAGGCCGAGCAGCGGAAGAGGAAGCCATAGATGCTGTAATAGGAGAGAGAAACAGCAACAGGAGAGAGAAAGAAACGGCCCGAGAAGGAAGAGACCCGTGACAAACGATGACCGATCACAAAACAAAGCACAGATCGGGGTAGAGGGGGTCTGGGCGAGTCCGGCGCCGGTGGTCGCTGCCGGAAAGGTGGCCGGACGCGCCGCCACGCGCGGCGGCCGGCGTGGAGGAGAGAGAAAACGCGCGAGGAGGAGATCGGCGCGTGAGGGCGCGTGCGATCTCCGTTCGCCGCGCGACCGGTGGCGTTGGGTTCGCCGGAGGAAGGCGAGCCGGGTGGGTGGGTCGCCGGCCGGAAAGATGACGGTGGTGGCGGTGGACGGCGGCGGCAGCGAAGAAAAAACGCCGGAAAATAGAGGGAAAACGGCCGGAAAGAGTCACGGCGAGGTGGTTGCCGGAAAACGGAATGAGACACGTTTTCCGGGCACCGAAGAACAGTGGGACCACCGGGAGGTCAAGGATTAGGCTCTAGATACCATGTTGAGAGTGATGGTGAATGAAGAGAACATATTCCTTGTGTATTGCAAAGCCAAAAGATGTGTTTAAATACAAAGTAGTGGGCCTAGGCCCATAAGATAAAATTATATCTAACAATATTAAATACTTCTTAAAGAATACAAGAAAAATCATAAATATAAAAAAGTACGATCTAAAAGAAGTATATTTTTAATGATGATATATATATTTATTAGAATTTATAATCTCATGCAAGCTTCAATCTGTGACTAATTAAAGATAACATTCTTTACCATTGAATTTATTAATATTATATTAGAGTAAATTAACGGAATGTTAGTATTCTAAAAAGAGTATAAATCAGTGGTTGATTTGAAAATTAACCGAAATTAAGCATTGAATGGGAGGTAAAGATGGTAGATATGGAGAAAGCAGTTAGCACTAGAAAAAGGGTCAACATTCAATGGATACAGCCAGAATCATTAAGCCCAAAAAAATTACTATCCTGACAAAATTAACTAGCTTGGAATAATCTCAACTTCTCATTTTACATATGTATACCTGGAAGGCAAGCAAAATCTTCTGTTTTCTCATATATAATTCAAAAGAGAGAGAGTGTGTCTCCAATGAATTAGGTGAATTCTTCTATAGAAGCTTCAAGTATTTTGTGGCTTCTAACAATGGATCTCCAACCTAAGAAGGGGAAAATTGCACGACAAAAAGTAATTCTGGGCAGGTGAAACTCACCTACATTTTTTGTATACTAAAAGAAAATAAATGTATTGAAATTTAACCTGCAATAATTTTTCACCACGTGAATCTGGATCAACAGGTTTTGCATGCCGTTTTCCAGATTTTGATATCCCACCAGCACTTGATTCTTCATTTTTTTCTTCAGCCTCCTAAAAAGGAAAAAAAAAACAGCATGAACACTTTTCCAGTAAGAACTTCCCCACAGAAGCAATAGCTGTGATTCATACTTTCTTAGCTCTTGCTTCTGCCTTTCTCAGTCTTTGCCTCAATTTCTTTTTCTGAGAAGGAAGCAACTTTGACATGACATTATCTTCCTCAGATGAAGACTTTGGAGGAGAATCATGCAATTTTATATAACATCTGCAGCTCCAAACATTAGAAGCATGAGATCATGAATACAAGATCAAAAGGAATTCCTTTTGCATATATGAATTTAGGCTGACAAGTTATGGCAGTCAAAAAGGCATGTTTTAAGTCACAAAATTATAAGCACATACCAAAAATGAAACATAAGAAACTCTTGACCTCTCAAGGACTGTAAGGCAGGTAAACAATTTACAAATAAATCACTGTTCAATTTCAGTGCATGTACAGAACTCAGTGACACAAAGCACTGCAT